ACAGGGCTGACCCCAGACACCGGCACAGGGCTGACCCCAGACACCGGCACAGGGCTGACCCCAGACACCGGCACAGGGCCGACCCCACGGGAAACAAAATGGGAGCAAGCTCGTCTAGAGGGTTAACATCAAGCCGTGAAGGCTCTGGTCCATATGAGAGAGGAACAAGCTAAAAAACCAGATCCAATCCCGCCGTGTGCTTGCAGAGGGAAGGCTTTCTTCCAAACCACCACCTTTTAGGGGGTCTGGAAAGAACACATTTTCAACAATCACTTCCACATCCCTGGAAAGTGCTGCTCTCGGTGCCTTCAAGGCTTTATCCTAGATCTGTTCCACACAGGAGCCTCCCTCTCTGCACCCTTGCTTCAGGCTGCCTGTCTTGTGCCTGTACCTGCTCCACTTTGCACTCTGTGGCTCCCAGATAAGGCCTTTTATCTCTTTCCTCCTAAAGGCTCTCCTCAGCCAGGGAAAGGAGGTGACTAGACTCTTTTGACTGTATTTAAGCAGGTGTACTTTTCTAGTAAGTCTGCCCCTGCTAGCTTTCATGACTTGCCATGGTCAGGAACAATGGCTGCTCACCATGGTTGAAGATGTCACCCCTGTACAGGGGATAGAGGTTTTGCTAGCCTGCCCAGCGGTTAATGCAACAGATGTAGTTGAGAGGAATGATGGGAACATGGGTTATCCCATGAGGTTGCTAGATCAGGGAGAAGCAGAGAAGGTCAGGCTATCCCTTAGCATCCACCCACCCCTACCTTTTTGCCTGTCTGTTCTGCAAGTGAGGGCATTTCCTCACCCCTGTCATGGTCACAAGGTAGGAAAAGGGAAATGCAATAAAACAAGCCCATGTCACACCACAGCAGATGTGCAAGAGACAGAATGTAGAACTACGTTTGCTCTCCTGATAAAGTGATATCTACCTCAGTGCCATACAGACTTGCTCTCCATGCTGCTGCACTCAGGCTCTGAGCAGCATTTTGGGCTTACACATTAATCAAAACAGGCTGATCTCAGCTCATTTCTAGTTTTACCTAAACTACTCCACTCAGCAAGTGTCCAAGAGCACCTCATGCCCCTGGGCCCACACTGTGCCCATCTTGTCAGCAAGCACACCTGTGGCTTGGCTGCCATTCCCTAAAGCCTGCAAGGAGCCCACCTGCCTGATATGGATGTGCCTCCCAGCAGCACCAGCGATTAGTACATACGGGAGAGGACCTGGGCAGGCAGGCTGCATCCCTCCTAATTGACTGAAGGAAGAGGAGCACTTGAACTTGCTCCAAAAGGAAGCACAAGCTCCAGCTTCCCCACATTCATTTACTTGCAGAGCTTGCCCAAACCTGCAAGTGGCATCAGCTTGCAGACAGGCAGTTTGGAGGAAGCAGTCAGGCCAGCGCAAGTCAGCTGGAGGTATTGACCCTCCTGGCAGTTTGGATGCAGACCTTAGTTAGGCTCAGCTTAAACATGTCTTTCTTCCCTTCTACTTTATCTAGAAGAACCGGCCCTCCCTAGACATTATTTTCTTTAGCATGACTCATTCCAGCTACAAGTCCATTGTATCCTTCAACACTGCGAAACTAATCAAAGCAAACTCCATTTAGGCCCTACATCCCTTCCATATAGGCAATTCCTGGGGAGAAATACACATACTATCAAATATCTCATTTCTGGTTTTAATACACAAAAAAATCTACTAAAACATTCTTTATTTTTCATATACATTGCAACAGTCTAGTTCACCTTAGGGCAAAGCTTAAAGCCAATACAAAGAGAAGAATCTTTCAAGAAAAACCATCTGCTCCTCAGGTGATGATGGCATTGAGATATAGTAGCGACACACACCAGGAAGCTCTGGTGCCAAAGGATGATAGTGCACAGACAAAAACCAAATCAAGCTTCCTAAATCAAGTCTGCTTCCTAAAGCCTGGCAGCCATCACTGTAGTGTTACATGCATCAAAGCAGTGAGCTTTAAGTGCTGTTTAGTGAGTTATGAGGAAGGAGCACTTGCAAAATGCATGGTGATGTGATCACATAACTGAGAGCTCCAATTTCCAACCCTCTCAGGAATGGGGGTTTAGGTTAAAAGTTTCCCTGTACTCATTACATTGGGTGAAGCCTGCTCAGCAATGAATGCAAACAGTGCCACAGAACAATGGCGACTGCAGGTGCAAAGAAGAAAATGCTAGAGACGTGATAGTGCTTCAACGTTTATTTTCCTCAAAGAAACATAAAAAGAATCAAAACAGTTCCAAAACCCACAAAGCTTTAGAATACTTCACAATACAGAAATACTAACTGTGCTCCCTACTTAGACTGACTAGCAGGGAGGTCTTCTAATCAGGCCTTTATGTCAGTAGGTGCATAAAGCTGTTTCATTTATTTCAGGTACAGAACAAGTGACAGGAGAAACGTATGGTATAGTTATTGCAGCTTGGATCAAGCCCAGGAAGTTCTTCTGGGAGGGATGCTTTGCTGCTGACAGGAAGCCACATTCATCAGGTACTGCTCACAGCGGGTACAGATGTCTGCAGTCAGCCAGTCTGCCATGGCCCCTGTGTAACAGCACAGAGGCCGTGCTAGGCAACGTGGCTCCAAAATAACGGGTACACTGGAGAGGGAGAGGGAAAAATAAAAGCAGGAAAGCTGACCCAGGTTTCTATTAGAGGGCATGGTGCTCTTCCACCCTTCCCCCCAGGCTGCTAAGTGATTTAGGTAACTGCATGAGTTCAAAAGAGCCGTCAGCACCACTTAGGAAGGCTACTAAGCACCAGAACACTTTCATTTACTGACACTTTATTGTCAGTATGTCAAAGGGCTAATGACTATCTATGTCTGATTCAAGGCTGTGGCTGCATCCTCATGCAGCAGGATTTTTTTTTGCCATCCTGAAGTATGACAGCAATGCAGCCTCTCAGACCTCTTCTACAGCACCTGCATTGTAAGACAGACCAAAGCACTGCCTGCCCCGCGCAGTTAACTTCAGTAGTGAACACTACCCCTGCTTTTTGGCAACTGATGCACAAGCCTTTGAACCAGAAACTGCTGTGACTTTATTCTGGCTACATTAAAGAATGGTTTCAGAGAAGAAAGAAAAAAAAAAGACACCAGTTCCTCCAGTAGAACACTTAACTGTTTTGGGAAGATGAGAACATAGAGAAGAGATAATGTATGTTTTCAGTCTTAGATATTGCACTTATACACACATGGTCTGTCCTTTCCACTCAGAACTGTCAAAAGCTCTCTATGGAATAGTTCATTTTCTGGGGACAAAAAGGAAAGGGTGTCTGTATATGTGTGGAGGGAAAATGAGAAACCATTTATGGCATTACTCTTCAGTCAGTTATGCTTAAGACAATTAGCATATTTGATTTGTAGGTATAAAGGGGCTATGCCTGGGTTGTAGTGACAGACCTCCAGCTGTGGGGAACAGAATGTAATGCAGTCTGGAAATTCTTATACAATTGAAGCTATTGCAAAGGACTTTCCATGTCTGGGCTAATGTGGACACTTCTAAATCCACATCAGAAACCTAATAGTTAGAAAGGAAAATCTACTTCAGAGCACCTTCAGATCCTCCCTTTTGGTCATCTAAAACCCACAATACTTCCAGAGAACTATACACCAGTTAGACCAGGGACTAAACCAGTCATTCAGCAGAATATTTAGCTGACCAACCTACTACTACATACTGCTGTCTGCATGTTTGTAGATTTGCATAACTGGTAACATCTTTCAAGGTAAAACCAGAACATCCCTGTCCCAGCTTACCCAAAATACTGCCCATGCTCTATTTCATGTAGCAACTCTGAGCTCTTCTGCTCTTCAGTAGCTGGGTCGTCCTCTCTGGAGAGTCTCAAAAGTTTTAGGAAGTGAAGTGGAAGATGTACACATGTTCGGAAGGGCATCGACATCTAGAATCACAACAGAAGTCACCTGAGTTCTCCGGGAAACACATCCTCCTGCTTAGCAGGAGAATTTGCATGGCATGCAATTGATTTATTAGTGCACTTAAAAGGTAGACATTAATGCAGTGAACTTTCTGACCCTTGTATAAATAGATCACAGTGTAATCCCAACCACTTTACACAGGATGAAAGAGGAACCAGAGTTGTTTTAGCTGAGTATGACAAGAGATGTCTGCAGCACTCTTGCTGCTTTTGCACCTCATAATATTCCCTCTTCTGTTTTCTTAGAAACAAGGTAGAGGGTAGATTTGAGGTATCAGTGGGATGAAGGAAAGCTTCCTATGACTAGGTGAGGCATTGGGAAAACATAAAATTTAAAAAACTCATATGCTGTTGTACAGACTAGACTTGCCTTGATGCAGCAGTCACAGCAGACAACACTGAAAGAAAAAGTGCCCAGCATTATCATTTGAGTAAAGCTCAGCAGATACTAATATGGCAGCTAAAGGTGACTTTCCCAAGTAAGTCAGAATTTGTGATTGTGGCAGAATTGCTTGATGGCAAAGTAAGAAAGCTTAGAACTCCCCCATTCAATTTGCCAGCTCTCCTATTTATGGTTGTTTAATTCATCTGAAATGTGTCAGCATCCATAGCTTCAAGGCTTTCTCTGCAAGTCCTCATTAAAATTCACCCAGCACTACCACCAGACAGTTGCTCAATTTCCAGTGGTTGTTTACTTGCTGCTTGTAATCAATTCAGTGCTTCACCACTGCTTCAAATAGATTTAAGTGAGCCTTAATGAGCCTGAAGTACCTCTCTCCCTCTTCCATGAACAGAAAGTTTCTGACAACTAAGTGGATACAAGTAGGTCCAACTCCTTCCCCAGTCACAAGGTCTGGAGTTCTCCTTTTCAGTCCTCAACAGAAGATTCTGGTGAAGACCCTCTCCCAGAACCTGTTCAAACCCTTGTCTGAAGTTAAATCCAATCTTTAGAGCAAAATTCAGAGTGATCTCAGAGAAATTGAATTTAATACTGGCACAGTAAATTTGGTTATTGCTAGCTTAATACTAAGAATTAAAACTGAGATACCACTTCAGAGACAAACTTTTCCACATCCTCTGCAGCTGTAGACACTTCAGCCTGGCTTGTGCAGTAAGACAAAACTGAAGGGCTCAGCAACCTGTTCCTATCCAGTACTACAAGTCTTTGAATACTGGGTATTTTCAGCACTATTCTTTCACTCTTTTCTCCCTCCTCATTCACCCCTTTTGTACCAGCTCACCTGCTGCAGAGGTAACAGTTGTAAGGCCACTTAAGAAACATCTGCTTATGGCAGCTGAAACAGATCTGTGGAAAGGAAAGTTATTTGTGAATGCAAAAGGGAAATATCTTTGTACCAACAGTATCCACTGTCTGTCAAAGAGCAAGCATATAAACCAACCTTCTAAAGGCTTTAGATCCATATACAATAACAGAGGTCGAATAAAGGATAGCAAAGACACAGGAATTAAAAGCTAAAAAGGCAAAAAAAATTCTTACTTGTAGGCCAGTGTTTTTATGATGCAGAGGTTTGGGGCAGCTGCCAGACAACAGGAGTTTAAAAAAAGGCTCTGGAGCAAACAATAGCTGTATTGTGTAAGAGTGTAACAGTAGCTAGTTAAGAGAGAGGGAAGAAGAGAGACATTCTTTGAGGTAGACTGCAGCAATCCCAAAGAGATTAAATCAGGGCAAATTTGAATTCAATCCTGAAGCAAAAAATGAGTCATAAGGAAGCTGATGAGTCGCTTGAACTTTATAAAAAAGAGCACATTCATACACAGCTGGCAGTCAGAAGTGATATTATCTTGAGAAGTAGAGCTTGAGAAAGCTAAAAAAACTTCAGCAGCAAGAACACAAAGGGGATAAGAGCCATTTTTGAATAGGCATAGAACAGGCAAGTTAAAGCAAGGTCGGTAAGGTGAGATAAAAACAAGAATTCAGTCTCAGGAGCATCAGACAGACTGTGGAAGTAGCATAGCTTTGCTATTAGAACCCTTTGACTCTGTCTGTACTGCTAAATAAATGAGGGCAAGAAGCTGACCCATAAGCCCAGTAGCACAGACTTCCTCACATCTGTGTTGCAAAGGGCTTGTACTCAGGACATCTGTTCTGAAGGGGCTGGCTGCAACACCCCCTCTAAAGGAGACTCAGTGAGTAAGGCAGTAGTCAAGAAATGTGAACAGCCAACAGTCCTGTGCTGCAGGTCATTCTCTGTCCCTCTCATCTCCCCGACCTTTGTGTCCACTCAGCAAGGTGGTTTGAGTTAGGTCAACTCGGGTGTGGGAGCCTCAGTTTCACTCTTTAGCAGTACCAAATCCCAACTATTTACTTCAGGATTTCAGAACTCACCCACAGTCACAGCAGTCAGCTCTCCTAGCATGGAAATCACAGACAAGAAGTTAAAAGCAAAGGCTGGGCTACTTTCTAAGCAATTTACAGAGTTTAAACTGGATTAAAAGCCATCACTGCACAAGTACTAAAAACTGTTTCCAGCCTAGGGCCAAACTCGGATCAGTTGTTATGAACAGGATAAGTTGAGGCAAAGGGCACCTCAGCAGTTCGGCACTGAGGGTCATGAAACCAGACAGCTTTTGAAAAACCAAGGATAGCACAAAGACAAGAAGAGGAAACATACCTTTGCTCTTAGAAAGACACCATCACCACCTCTTTGGAAGAAGTCTTGCCCTTTCAGCACCATCTCTGAATATCTGGTTCCAATCAGCTCAGCAATGGTTGGTGATGGCCACTTGGTAGGAAAGAGACAGTCCTGTTGAAAGGCAGAAGTTAAGCATTGGAGAAGGCTGAAGAAAGCAGCTATCTGGGGAGGTTATCCTCAAAACTGGGTCCCAAAGGCTGAGGAGCATTTGTCTCCAAAACCCGGTTTTGCCCGTGATGGGGAATATCGGTTGACTGATGATGCTAGCGGAGAAAATACTACAGGGGGTTTAGTGATTGCTACAGTTTTCAAGCAGGTTCCTGACACCTCATAAAAGAAGCAGATCCATTGGTCACCACAGCAGCTAATACCATCTCCAGAGCCAGTCTTCGGGGAATTTTACCCTTTGGAACAGACCGCAGAACAGATGCCACCCTGGCCCCTCCTGAGTACAAGATCCCTTTCCACAGCACAGCACTGTCTTGCCTTCTCTTTCCCAGGAATCACTGGCCCCACACACATGGCAACTATAGTTTGGTGATCTACCGGGAGAGACCTGGGGAACCCAACCCACCTGCATCCCCCAGCCCACTGCTGAACAAAGAGGTCTCAGAGTCCTCAGGTCAGTTTAGAGACTTGCCAAGGTCAGGCAGAGAGAGATGCAGAAGGAAAGAAGGAAGCAAGGGCACAGCACACCTTGTCAGGGCAGAACAGGGCAAGGCCATAATTCAGAAAGTTGCACACAAACCCCAGCATTTCTCTCACTACCATCATGCAGAGCCTGATGACTTCAGTACTGCATACATGATATATTTAGAAGTCACCAATGCTGTGCTACCTACAGTTTGTCAACTGCTTGTTCCCTTTACTGCAGCTTAAGGGACACTTGTGAACATATTAGAATCTAGAAAGAATGAGGGGAGATGGAGAAAGCAGGACAGTCCTACTGTCAACTACAGTGTGCTTGAGGAAGTCTTGATGGACATTTTCAAGTAATACAGAGGTATTTTTTTCTTCTTGTATGAGAAACAACTATTTCATATCATTCAAACTGGGAAGGCACTGCAAGGACACTGCAGCATCCAGTCCTCTCTTAAGCTGTCTCCAGTGAGAGAATAATATACCAACTTCAGATCAGTATACAATATGTCCCAAGATAAAAACCACAGAGCATGCTTCGTGCTTACATGAGGATCAAGGTGCAAGCTCTAGTCATTACAAGATCTATCAGACCAGGGTTGCTTGCTGACATGTTGGACTTACAAGTTCCTTGCTTTGAAGGCCTGTCTCTAAAGATTTGGACCTTCTTCTGTAAGGAGGCAGTTGCTGTTGGCCAGTATTCAGGAAACTCTTGGGTTTAATGTCTCCTAGTGTGGGTGGACATGGGGGACACAGGGAATTTGCAGTGAGACCTGGATAGGAAGAGAGAGTTTTAGGGTGCAGAAAACTAACTGGCAGCTTTTAAGTATTCACCCCAAAAAACACTCAAGAGCACTACACTATCCTCTGAAGGTTGCAAGGCTTATGTCTCTCCTCCTCCACCCCATCAGCTCAGATCACAAAAAGCAGAGGTTACAGTAATTATGCTTGTCAGTAGGCAGTGATGAGGCTTCATTAGCACCACTTAGTTTAATGAAATCAAGTGGTGCTCTTTCTACTTGAATATTCAAAACATTCATTTAGCTTTTACTGCAAATTCCAGTTAGGCCTTTGGGGACATGGTATCATTGTTTTGAAGCTGCAGGAACTACACAGGCTTTAGTCAACTGCAGAGAAATGGTTTTCTAAGGGCACCTCCCCAGACTCATTACTTAGTGTTAGAGCTCTTCTTGTAAAGTAACTCCAAGTGATCAGAGTGAAAAGAAAGTGTGCAGTGAGCCCAACCTAAGGCTTTGGGAACCCAGGAGGCCACTGACTGTACTTTGTCACCTGGTTTGGACATGCAGCTGGAAGTACACTGACCTGTGCTGTTGCAGGATACTAGCGATGACCTGCTGGAGGAAAGGCAGGTGCTGTCAGGCAGCTTGAGAGTGGTTTCCTGTAGATCAGAGGACAGGATGTTCATAAGCTGCAAGCAAGACACTAAACCCACTTCAGCAGAAGTATTGCTGCTAAACAACACCAGGATACCCGGGACTGACCAGAAATGTTCAGGCTCACTCAAAAGTGAAGCAAAGAAAGAAATCAACGGAGTACATTTAGGAACTTTCTATTACTTCTTGGAATATAAAATTAACCCTCCTCTGCACTCCACAACCAGGAAGCTCCACCCAAGTTCGTGAAATTTCCAATTCATCTGCTCTCTCTCTCCCAAGTTCAATGTGGATACTAATATGAAAGTTTCATCTGTTCAGGAACCAACTTTGCAAAATCTTCCCTAAGCAACCCATGGAGTACATTGGAACCATATTCTTGGCTCCAGTTGACACACACAACATTGGAGAACAGTTCAAGAGACTATGACCAACCCAACTCGCCAACCCAACTCAAACCCAGTGCTGTATCTCAACAGCATTGTTTCTACCTTCTCTAGAAAAGCAGAAAACAAATTTGATTATATTAGTCTCCATATGAAGGTCCTTCTAGTTTAGCAGTAATACATCAACTACAGGGTTCTCGAATGCTGAACATTCCTCCAAGTAGCACAGATGGGGGCAAATATAGCTGAGATTTTCTGCTTTTATTAATTCATATCCGCTTTCCTCAGTTAAGCAACTGCATTTCAGACAGAAATATTTACAGAAAACAGATTCCTGTTTGTATGCCAGAGCATCTGTGCTAGACATGATGTTTTAGGGCTTAAATTCTGTTCCACAGAATTTCTGAATATGCTCAGACTGAATCCCAGAACCAAGTAAGTCAAGCTTTTCATGATCGTGCCAGGAGTAAAAGAACCCAAAGACATCGTGGTTTATTGAGGAGTGGTGCTCCCAAAATAACTCCATAGACAGAAGAGTGGGAATTTACCTATCAAGTTGCTTCTTAAAAATAAGTAATTAAGTTTTCCTTCCATGAGCTCACATACCATGTGAAACCAAAATACATCAATACCCCTAGCATCAAATGCCTCACTGTAAGATTGGCCAGACTCCCGTGCATATTAAAACTTCTGCAGGATCTAGTTTTAAGAGACCAGAGCAGGCCTTGGTTCTATAGAATCATAGACTATCCTGAGCTGAAAGGTACCCACAAGAAAAGTCCAACTCTTAGACCAGCACAGGACCATCCCAAGAATCACACTCTTGTTCAAACACTTCTTGAACTCTGTCAGGCTTGGTGCTGTGACCACTTCTCTGGGAAGCCTGTTCCTGTGACCAACCACCCTCTGGGTGAAAGACATTTTCCTGTTATCTAACCTAAACCTCCACTGACACAGCTTCAGGCCAGTTCCTCAGGTCCTAGCCCTGGTCAGAGAGAAGGGATTGCATACGCTGTACCTATAGGCTGCAGTCATGCCACAAACAGAACTGTCTGAATATGATATGTGCTTCTGTAGAGAAAAGATCTTCAGTGAACCCAACAGTACCACATTTGTTCACTTTTGAGACAAGATTTCCTACACTAGGATTTGTACCTGACCTTCCAGGCTATGTGTGTATTTGCAGCTCTAATGCCTCCCCATAGTCCTTTCACTTAAAGCCTTACCTGAACTCCTGGTCCCAGCTGCTGTGTTTTAGTGTTGACAACTTTAAACTCAGTACTGGCATCTTGGAGAGTTAAAAAACTGTCACTTGGAGAGTTCAAGGCTGTATTTGGAGTCAAAAGCATTTCTGCAGGGGAGAGGGAGAACAAAAACCCCTATACACACAGACTAAATGAGATATTGTGCTGGAACAAGAAAATTACAAATTTGATACCCACAGATCAGAATTTGAGATTAGGCCAGACTTTGTCATGACGGTTACATAAACTTTTAGTGTTAGGTGATGGTCAAAATTCTGCCCTCTCACTTAGTGGACAATTTTGAACATCCATAAAAAAATGGGTAAGTTGAACCATCTTTTGAGTCTTAATAAGCCACAGACAGATTTTCTAGAAATAACTATTCTTATGCCAAACCACCTCTAACGCAAAATTTGCATTGCCATCCCCTTTGCATTATAAATGTTATTGAAAAAATAAATGGGCTTTCATTTCAAAGGCCAGTCACTATTTTGGAGCAGGTACCTCTGGGCCTGCTCCCTTTTTCCTGTGCTGCTGCTGACTGAAGCTTCTGTGGTTGTTTTATTTCTACCATGGACCGTTCATGCCAGCTGGTCTCACATGGCACACACTCTTTCAGCTGCCTCTCCAACACCTGCAGGCAAAGCACAGCACCACAAAGAGCCAGTGGATAGAGCAAGGAGACCAGTGGTGACAGAAAAATCCATCAGCAATGGCACTGTTTTACAAGTGCCTGTCACTCAAGAGGGCACTGGGCCCTGCACATGAGACACCCTCCAGCACTGGGCATAGTAGAATACTTTGGTGACTCTCAAATTTGAAATTGAGAACTTCAGAAGTTCTTTCAGGACCACAAAATGTTCCAAAGGAAAGAAGCAGTGGAAGAAGTAGGGAGATTGATCATCTTTCTCCTATGAAGATGTCAACTCCCATTTTCCTAGGCCCCGGTTTTGGCAGGAGGATCTGTTCAAGAAGTTAATATATTCCCCTCCCAAACACAAACCAGTAGCTAAGGCATTACCTCTATGTTCCTTGAAGCTGTTCTGTCACTCTAGAATTACCTTTTTTTGCTATCATCAGATGCAGCACCAGGTCACCTACCAGCTTTTGATGAGGCTTGGGAGCAGCTACATCAACTTTGGGGTCCTTGTGTTTTTGCTCAACGATCACCTGAAAGAGGAAAAACGATGCTTAAGAAATAGTTCTTTTTCTACAATAGTTCCTTCCTCCTGGTACACCCTGCCATTCAGTGGCACACTGAATGGTGCAATTCAGGATTTGGCAATGGGGGAGGTGGGGATGGCATAAAAAAATTAGTTGGGAAGTGTAGAATGATGAGATTTACTTATGTGGGTTCTCAGTGGAGACAGATTTGCCCATGGCAAGCTAGAGGCAATCAGAAGTGCTGCACAGCCCTTAGAGGCTTCCAGCCCTAGCAGCTCATGAACTGCTCAGGAAGCTGCTGGAAAACACTGTACTCAGATTTTGACCTCAGGAGTGATCCTGATAAGCACCATCGTCACATCCTCTTCAACAGTGAGAACTCAGCTCCAGGGAGGAGAGCAATTGAACAGGTTAACAGAACTGCACCAAAAACTGCAGCAGCAGGCAGCTGTATGCATAAGCTAGAGTCTCAGAGACTGGCTTACAGCCCTGCATAAACTAGGAACAATAGCAAGATAGAATTGCAGGGCACATATTCATGTGAGGCATCAAGCCCTGTGCTAGCTGCATAGGGGACAACTGACAAAAAAGTCAATTGTACATGCATGTCTTTAGCTGCCTTGTTCACGTATTCTTATTTTGAGGTTATGGTGCCTGTGTGTACAACTTCAGAACATGTGGGAGTGCAGGTAGAACAACACTACAGCTTCCCACACTAGCTGTGCTTTCATTCATTTGCAAATTAGACCACTGTTTGCTAGAGAAGCTTTAAAATAGCTTTGCAGATGGGGAAATCCTAGTTTAAGAGCCTTCACAAAGACCTGTGCACTCTGCTTTCTTTGAGCATTTCTGTCTACTACTCTTCAAACATGTTTGTGCTTCTCCTCAAAAAGAAAAATGTGGGGGGTTTTGGGTTTTTTTGTTTTGTTTTTTTTTAAAGAAGAAAAAAAAAGAGAAAATCAAGTCCCAGATCATCCTGCCACCTTGAGTTATGGTTCTGTACTGCACAGTGCACTGATATACAGTACATTGCAAGGAACACAAATAGTTATGATGCACTGTCTCCTTTACACTACTATTCATTTATATATCAATAAAGATATTATCTCCAAAGAAATGACATAGCCTTACCTGGAGGCTGGAACCACAGTCAAGCCAAGCAAGAGCTGGGGCTTTATGGAGGTGCATGGTTTAGCTGAAGCTTATAAACCTGCTGCACTCCAGCAGCACCAACAAAGAGGAAAAAAAGCTGATGTCTAGTGTGGTAGGCAAAGTTTTCACTTTTTGTAATACTGGTTTTTATTACAAGAAGAGTTGTGTCTCATCTTCTGCCAAGACGTCTGTTTGCAAAGCATGCCAATGCCACAAAGCCTTATGCCAATGTTTTAGATCTGCTCATCATTCCCAGATCAAGCTGCAGCAAGCAAAGAGTATCTCAAGCCTTTAGAGACATCCCAGACATTCTTGTATCTGGTCATCTTCACCAACCAAGTGGTGAAATTGGAAGTCACTGCCACTTGAGTCAGAACAGCAGCTGCCCCTGGGAGGGCCTTAACTTTTTTTACCCTGACTAAACTCCTGCAGTAGCTCAAGTACACTGCCTAGAGGCCTCTGCCTGAGACTGAGCAAAGGATTGTCTCAAAACTGCTTTTGCATACACCCAGAACATCTGGGGCATCTGGGAAGGCAAGGAAACTAGTAAGAGATGCTGCCAAGCATAGCTCAGCTTCAGGAGCCTGGAAGGACAATAAGTGTCCAAGGTGGAAAGCACAAGCAGGCAAGAGTCTGTTCCATGAAACTGTTGTGTGCGGGGCAGCATAACTGCTCCAGGGAAAGGAGTGGCTGACCCCTGGAGGGAGAAGAGGTTTACTATTCAGCTTCATGAAGCTGTGACTACTGCTGACTTAAAAAGTTACTGGAAATGAAGCACTTGGGTAGAAAAATAGGGTGATCTAATGTTGAGTTGCAACTGAGAGGGATACCCAGGCACTTCTGGACTTCGAAGTGCCCTTGAGAAAGACAAGCTTTTGGAGAAGACGTCTCAACACATACTGCTTAGACATGAAGTAGAGCAGATGTTTTCCAAGTCACTCACCTTCCGTAGGGTGTATCTCTTGTGCTGAATATCATCCAAAAGCAATTCAAAGGGAGAGCGGATCCGTTCTTTTGGAGGCACACAACGCTGTGGTCGCTCACTGGCCTTGTGCAGCCTCACGCCAGCCTGCAGTTCACTGATGACACTGGGCCACAGGGATGCCTCGGAGAAACCAGGAAGGGCCAAGTCAATAGCTGGCTAGAACACACTGAGCAGCATCCCCTCCCTCCACGTAACAGGGCACACTTAGAAACTGAAGTTACTCAGAAACGCACAGTTATGTCCTTAATACCCGCTTCTACTCAGTTTCAGAGCAGGGTACAGTACCAGAGCAGAGAATTGCTTCTCTTTGCAGAGATTAATTTACAGTGAGGAAACTAGGAGCTGGTTCACCAGGCTCATTCCCAAATTTTGTCGTTAACTTTATGAATGTACTTCAGCAAAACACAGCTTTTGCTGCCAGGTAGCAAGACACATTTTCTTTCCGCAAGCACTCCAGGTGCCAGTGTTTTCATATTATTGAATACTAGGAAACACTGCGAATGAAATCCCAAACCTCACCATTAAAATCCTCTAAATTTTCAGAAAACAAGGGTTGAAGTATCCACAAACAAGGGATCTCATACTTCACAGAAGCATACATTAGCAGTCTCAGCCTGCAGACACAAGCTAAAAACTGACATCTGCTCATCCTCTCCCTGCTTTAGTATCTGAGGATGCTCAGGTATGCAGTATAACCCAACAAAAACAGGATAAAAAAATAATCAACTCAATAGCACGTTTAGACAACATTGTAATGGAAGTGCTAAATCAACAGCTTATCTAGATACCAATGGCAAATTAAGTAAGAACAAGTGATTGTATTATAAACAGTGAAAGGGAAGCAAAACATTTCAGAAAACTGCCTCAAAACAAAGTCTCTGACTTAGACTTCTCTCCCTTTTCCACTTACAGCATCTTCTCTCAACTTATCCCTTCAGATATCTTGGTATAATATCAGAAGAATCTTATACAAGCTCTAACTGATGGCTGCCTTCAAGGAGAGAGATTTTTTGTTGGATTATTTTGGCCTGGCTTTGGTACAGTCATACCTCAACTCCAGAGAACTAGAATTATCAAAGAGTGACCACATACAAGCCATATCTCCTAGGCTATATTTAATACTGTGTGGGAGAACACGCAAAAGTCTCTGGGCAAACCCATCAGTACTAGAGACTTTTGAAATAGCACTTTTTTTTTTTTTTTTACTTTTGAAATAGCACCGAGATGTTTGCACTTTATAGAGTTGTATTTCACATGGTTATAGCACTTGACTGAAAAACATGACCTGAAGAGAGACTTCTGTACTGTAATATTGCCACATTAGTTTTGGGACAAGAATTGTCTTCAGCTGTCCATTTAAGAGCAACTTGCACACCCAAAACATTTTTCACATGTTGGTGACATCATCATCACTCATACTTTTCTTTCCCTACTGACTGGATCATTGCAATTATTCTACTTGGGCCATCCCATGTAGTGTTAAATACCACCTAAACTTCCCACACCTGTGCAATACAACACAAAAATGCTACAACACCATAAATCCATTGCATTAAGTTCAACAGATGAGCAGTAAGACAGCTGTGTTTCTAACAGGTCTCATCTGCTTAGATTTCAAGGTGAATATCAACTTGTAACGTGTACAGATAAGCTCTGCTGCAACTGTACAACCCTGCATGCTGTCAGGCTGTGGTCTGCATTTCAGAAGACCTGTTTTGTAGCAGTCAACAAAAAAAGTGTGGCCCATAGAGAGCATTAGCTTCTTAGCACCACTCAAGGCATCAGCTCTGATCTGTGGGATCCCAGTGAAGTTAGCACACTGATTATTTTAAACTCAAGAGTTTTTCAGAGCGATGCAATCAACTGGTGCTTAGGGACTTGGAAACTAGAGGCAGAGGATTTGCAACAGGCATCCAGCTTTCGGAATTCATGTCTCCTGAAGGAGCAGAGGCCAAATACACTGGCCTTCAGGCCACACAGCAAAGCCCTTGTATTTATTCATGTATTCCCTGCAGAAAAGAGCTATAGCAGTTGATGAGTTTGTGGTTTGAGATAGCTTGCCAGTTTATTTTAATAGATCACAAAATTGAGAATATGCCCAAACACACATTTCACAAACATTTTCATACGAATAGTTTGAGCATGCTTCAAAGCAAGTGCTATTTAGACAAAGGGAGCGAGTCCGCAAGTCTCTTGGGGCTTGCTGTTTGCCTCCACAGACTCCAGACTACAGTGCGTTTGTTTATGCTGGGCAGAGCTCCAGCCTGAAGGAAGAGCTGTTTGTTTCTGATTGAGCTCTGACTTTGCAGGGCCTCGGAAAGAACAGAGTAAGTTGCTTTCTCTGCCCCAAACATACAGTCCAAGATCTATGGAAGGACAGAATGCAAAGAGAAGAAAGACAGTGAGCTCAATCTATAAGTGACATCTCCAGCCTCATCCCCCTTCACCCCTTTGAGCTGCTGGAGCTGCCACAAAGATGGACAGCACTACTGGCCTTCAGTCCCTGCCAGTCCTGAACCAACATAGACCCCACAAAGTAAAAGTGAAATAGTCCATCCCAGTACTACCAACAACAGAACAGTTTTCTGGGATTTTTCAGTCCAGCTACAAGAAAGGAACAGATTGCTTTTGGCAGGTGTCAGTTCCCACCAAGAGCTGGAGTTTGGGGCTCAGCTGCAGAAAGAAATAGCCTGAGTAATTGCTTGTGGACACTTACTTCAAAGACTGCCTCCAGCTTCATTTTTAGAAGTGGTTTAAGTTGGACCACAAAGACAATATTTGTGTAGAATAAATGTCCACGTGAGGTTGACATATGAAATAGTTTAACTTCAAGTTCACTCCCCAGCTTGTTTTGCAGACAAGTCGTTAACTACTTAAGCTCCTGAAAAAAACCTAAGCAGTTTAATATGTTCAACCTCTACTTTTCATAGAAGAATCAGTGGGAAGCCTCAGAGAGCTAAAGCTGAAGAAAAAAACCCATGCCCATAATGAAGAAATTAAATCCCTTACGCCACAGTTTTTCTTCTTTTGAATGGGATTTTCCACCAAATCTTCCACATCCATTTTTCTCAGTCGCTGAGAAGCAAGCACATGAGGTCATTGCACTGTTCAGTATCTATCCAATATAAATTACTAATGTTTATCTGAAAAGCCTACAAACCCCAAACACCTAAACTTTTAAATGCTATAATAAGTAAAAAAGGTGCAGAGACAGAAGCCATTCCCATTGTGAAAACAGACCTTCATCTACATGCTCCACTTTCAGTGCAATGGGAAGGTTACTTTAGAACCTGGTGGGTCTGTGAAGGTGGAGGGAATAGCAGCTAAGGGGTGATCCCAAATGTACCTCTTTGGAGGTTTGGATGATGGTCACAAGCTTTTGAAGTTCCATATATTCAGCAAACAGATTCCTACAGGTCATTTCATAATGTCTGGCAGCCTCAGAAGGCCTGGGCAAGTGCTCCTCACAGGCCTGAAAGAATTGCAGCTATTTAAAAGAGATCTTGAAATGAAAAAAAAACCATGGGAGGATGGAATAAAGCAAGATTCAGTTTCCTCAATCCATGGTTAAAAATCATCTTCCTCATGGCCCCTTTATATTATTTTTCTATTGCAGATACAGAGGAACAAAGAAGCAAAATGTCCAATCTTATATGTATGATAATGTAAGTAACTGCATAATTTATGTATATTGCCTTCCACAGAGTGTGCTTTGAAATAAGTACCTGAAAGGGGAAGCCTGCAGTGCCGACAAAGCACAAAACCCCACAGCAGGTGGAGTCACTTAGCCTGTTCTTTTCCCCTGCCCAGATCAGACAGAGGGATGAGAAGTTTCTCATACCTTTAAATTCTGTTTGAGGGGCAAATACCTGTTTGAGTTGAGACATTGAAATCCCAGCCTTTGCAAAAACTGAATAGTACAGACAAGTGACTTTTTTTTCAATATCCAGTCTTCTGGGTATTGAATTTGGAGACTATGTACAGAAGGACTTTGTAGACACAGCTGTGTGAGAGCCATGTGTAGTGTTCCTTCTTAATTCTTTTCCATGGGCACCTGCAAGTACCTAAGATGGTATTGCCTTTTCCCTCTCATGGGAAAGCCACATGCTCCCTCTATGTTCTCCAACAATCTACCCAGCTTTTACCCAGAAATGGTCTTGCCCCTTGGTTAACTGCACCGTTCCATCAGCTCCTCTAAAGTTGCTACATTTACTAAGTGGGAATAAGGAAACCTTGATAACATCCTGCAGGGTGACTTCTGGTTTCATTGGCTCATCATCCAGTTTCAACATGAGGCACAGCAATTTCTCCAAAGGACCGCTCAGTTGTCGCTCCAGTTGGCTGTCAATTCCCCAGTCCAGGGCTTCATAGATCACCACTCCCAAGTATTCCAACAGCTGCAGACACAGACCAAGGAAGCAATGCAGCACAAACTGGAGAATGTCACAGCTCTCAATTCCCAGCCATGCATGTACCCTCATCTGCCCCTGAGGGCTGAGCACATCTCTCAGGATGAGAGATACTCCCCATTTAAGTTGTTTTAAGATTTTATATGGCCTGAACTAGCACCCCTAAGTTATCATTATTAAGACAACAAGACTCTGGGCACAGTAGACAGCATCTGTGCACATTGTTTCCCAGTCCCATTGCTTTCCTTGAGTTCAGTCTGAGCATTTTGTTTTCTTTCCCAGGTTGTAGGGGAAATACTCACAGGGCACAGCAAATTTAAGCACCTTGATAGTTTCCAAAGACATCTATATCTCCTGAGCTGGCCTTTACTATAGCAGGATTCTATCTGCACACATAATGAAGGTAAAGATACAAGCTTACCTTGTCCTCTGAATGCTGAATGCTGCCAGTATCTGAAAGGGAAAAAAGAGGGTTGGGGGAGAAAGAAAACTGCTTAGGCATTTAGAACCCCTTTCAAAAAAGGGAAACAGGAAGAATTCTTGATAATAAGGAAACTAACTCCTCTGACTACAAAGTCAGTCCCACCTGAGGAAAGTAGGTCTATATTTGGGGAAATCCTATGTTGCTAGAAAGCAACATGGGATGCTCTTCTTATTGTAACCATTAGCCCCAAACTAATGGCTGCTGTGGAGTTTTTCTCTTTGTTGTTGTTGTTGTTGTCTGCTAATTGATATCTAACCATAAGGAAGGCATGGGATCTTTGTATTTATTGTTAATGACCCCCTCTAATCCCTGAAGAGTTAGCCTAGCACTGACCTCTGCAGCAGCCCCACCAAGCCGTACATAACACAGACTTGTTGCCACTTGCTGGCTACACACAGTGACAGAAAAAGGGAAACTGCAATCATAAATCCACTGTGAAAGTTACCATAACAAAGGTAAGAAGATGAAGGTTGGAAGATGAACAGAGCAGGACATATAATAAAGCTTTAGATTATTTATTTCAAATAAAGTAAGTGGTGAAAAGCTTTTATCCCAGCTATTTCCTGGAACCAAATGACTCGATAGAGCACGACTAGAGAAATTAGTAGGTCATATATCTGTATTACCATTCATCTACAGTCCTCTGAAATAAAGTATAGGCAGGAGAATAGCTTCATGACAATATACAGAGAGAGCAGAGGGGAAAAAAAAACAAACAAAACCAACAAAAAAAGCAGAGGAAAAGAAAATTTCCCTACTTTGTCCCATTTCAGCCTGTTAAAGGAACAACCCTTGGCACCTATGTTCTTACCAGACTTGTGGTAGACTTTGAAGGAAGCAGTACCATCAGCATGGATCAAGACACTCCCACAACCTTTTATGAATACAGAATGGAGTGATGGGCACAGCTCTTGAGCCAACTGCTCCATCTTACAGCAACACTGAAAGCAGATAGCCCAGGCTTGCTCCTCACTTATAGGATGTTCAAAACACCTCAGAAGCTCAGCTAGAGAGACCTTTGTGATCCTCTGCTCACACTTCAGAGATTCCATTTTTACTTTCACCTTCACTCTTAGTCTAGGAAGCTTAACACTCCTCTTTCCAGGCCGGGCAAGTGCTCACAGCAGCCTTTTGTCAGTTCTGCCTCTTGGTTTGCTCTTATCTCTCTTCCCTACAGGTGCAACCATTAATGCCAATCTTTGCTCTATCTTTTTAAAAGGACATCACTTTAATCTGTATTTGTACAAGATTCCTTAAAAGAAAATAGAAAGTTTACAACAAAATGGAATCAAGAGAAGATAAGACTATACAAAAAGTTGTGCCCAATTTAGCTCCATTGTTCCCAACAAATATTTTAATTGGAATACCAGTGTTAGCAGTTAGGAAATTTCAACTACAGGCAGAAAGGGAAAGAGGCAGGAAACAATGTCTTATACTTGGGGGAGGAGAACTCATTGAAGACCACAAAAATTCAATCCATTTGGTAGGAAACTATTTTAACAACACTAATAAATGACAGCAATCAATTCCATGGGACACTTGCATTCACCACAGGCCCCACTTCTGCCTGGCCTTGGCCCTTTGTCCCTGCCACGGCAAATCCCAGGAGCTGGGACAAATGCATGCAGGGACCAGGATGGCCAGGTGGGCACCTGGGGTATGGGCAGCAAGGCCTGTCCTTGTTCAGAGTGTTGATATCACAGAATCACACAATCAGTTGGGTCAGAAAAGACCTCTGAGATCACCAAGTCCAACCTTTGACTGACCACCACCAAGTCTACTAGACTGTGGCACTAAGTGCCATGTTCAGTCTTTCCTTAAACACCTCCAGGGACTGTGACTCCGCCGCCTCCCTGGGCAGCCCATTCCAATGTCTAATCAGCCTTTTTGTGAAAAAATTCCTCACTATGTCCAACCTAAACCTCCCCTGACACAGCTTAAGACTGTGTCCTCTCATCCGGATAGGAATTGCTACTGGTGTGAAGCCGATCTCCCAGATTTTTTTGCACTTTAAGGGGTGTGTGTGTCACATGGGAGGGCGCAGTTGCAGGGCCTGTGACTGGGGTCACCCCTGGGCTCTCGGGCAACGCATCACGGAGGAGCTCAGCGGCTGCTGCGCTGGCTACCGACAGCCCCGGCTCCCGAGGCTGACACTGAAGAATTGCGAGGTTTGGAAAGTGTGAGTAACACTCATAATTTACATTTATTCCTCTTCTCGCTTACGACATTTGGGAACGCAGCGCACCACCGCCAGGCCCCGGGCTCTGCCTCGCCCCCGCGGCGTGACTTGGTCCAGTCCGCGGCCCTCCCCCGGCCCGGCCGGGATGGTCCCGCCCAGGCCGTGCGCGGCGGGAACATGGCGGCGCCCAGGGCGGCGTGGGCTGTGCCGCGGGACCGGCGGGATGTGCCGTGCAACGGGCTGGACGCGCCGTGGAACCGGCTGGACGTGCCCTGGCCCACGAGCAGCGCCACGGTGGCGCTGGCGGCCGAACACCCCGCAGGTCCCGGCGCTGTGCCGAGAGGGGCTGGGGGGCGTTTGAAGGCACTGCCGGGCGCTTGCGGGCGGGCGGGCGGTGGGGGCCGGGGGCGCGGGGGGCCGGGGTGACGGCGGGCGCTGAGGCCGTGTCCGGCTCCCCCCCGCAGTGGGACGGCTGTCGGTGCTGCGGCGGCGGTGCGACACGGCCGGGAGGCGGCTGTCGGGGCCCGGCCTGGCCGCCGAGGGACGCGTCGTGCGCGCCCTGCTCTACGCGTTCCACAGCAGGCTGCTCCGGCACCGCCCCTACCTCGCCCTGCAGCAGGTGAGCGACCGCTCTGCGCAGCCAGTGCCATTTCCACTTTTCCACGAATACGTGGTGTCTTGTGCTCACGCTGAGACCTGAAGGAGCTACAGTTACATACCTTTGAATGCAGGAGTAATACAGAGGCTTTGTTCTCAATTAATTGTAATAGTGGGAAGGGGGGAAGAATAGTCCTAAGCTGCTCTGTTAGGTACTTTCTGGTTTAGCATGAAAAGTAAACTTCTTACCGATTTTCCAGGAAAGGGATTGTCAGTACCTTCAAATAATTGTTTTGAAACAGAGCAGGAATGGTGCTTACCTTCTTGATTTGTTCATGTGTTTTCGTTCTTGACAGCCAGTACCAAAGGTAATTGTATACAGCAGGGGAAACCATGCAGCACCAATTAACCATGACCTACTGCAGTCCTTCTCTTAATTCCATTTTTACAGTAGAGTGATGAAGGGCAGATATAGGAATATCCCAGAACATTTCATAACACAAACCTGCTGTTTGTGCTGCTAAACTGGTAAAGGGAAGGTGTCGTTTAACATAGTGATGGTTCTTAGACCAAGGCACTGCCAGTCTCTCAAAATACCAGTCAGAAGAGTTTTCTTTTTTTCTAGGTAGAACAATGTTTGAAGCGCCTATGGAAAATGAATTTGGTGGGCTGCCTTGAAACTCTGGTAGAACTGATTCCTAAGTAAGTGTCATGATTCTATATTTTATACTATCCATTAACTCAATCTGCAGAGCTAAAGGAGGGGGCTGCTAAATCGTAACTATCTTCTCATCCTTGTATCAACGTAGGAAAGATACATCTGAAGCCCGTGCAGAGTGCTTGGTTCCCAGCCAGCCCATGCTGGAAACAGTGGCTCTGAAGGTATTGGGAGGCTGCAAGCTCATACTGCGTCTGTTGGACTGTTGCAGTAAAACTTTTCTGTATCCTTTTTTCATCATAAAAATATTCTTACAATTCACTAGTAGCACCTCATGACATCCAAACCTAGGTCTGCTGGAGGCCCTGTATTGCTAATGGACTCAACTGTGCAATTCATATGTGCAACTTGAAGCTTGTTTGATAGCCAAACACCTTATTTTCAAGTTATTATGTAGGAACCTCAGGCTGTTGGCTGGCTGCTGTTCTGGCCTTGAGCAATTCAAAATTTGGATACTCATCTCCCAAATTATTACAGGGTATCGCCTTGCGAATTGCCTCTAGTTGGTGTGTTCAGCAAGTCTCATTACATGCTGTTTACTTTTTTATCCTTAACTGCTGTAATCTTCAGCTTGTCCATTAAGCATCTCTGCTCGAAGGAATTCATACTTCTGAACACGGTGGCTTTGGGGCTGTTGAGCCGGCTATGGTTTGTGTGTTCAAAGTTGTTTGTTGTCTGTCTGTCTGTTTGATGTGCCTGTCAGGGGTAAGGGCTTGTAATTAGGCCTTGCTGCTAAGTGAGCTTTATTCAGTTGGGAGGAGGAGGAGAGGGTGTTCCTCCATTCTTTTGGACTTGATTGTAGCACCTGAAGAGTTGTACAACCAGAGAGAGACTTCTTACATGCTGTTATGGAAGGCTTTGTTCTTGGCTCATAGCAAACTTTATGTAGCACTAATGAAATCACAGTGTTAGTGCCAGCCTGACAGCCTGACACCTGACACCTGTCAGTGTTTGTTAGTGCAAACACTGACACCTGGTACTCTGTGCAGCAAGCAGTAAGTCCTGCCTCCTGATGAAATGGAAAGGCTGGGATAAACATGTTCTATAACACTGCTGAGTTTTCCAGGGAAATTGGTGTTCTGGTCTCTCTCAGTACAGGAAAATAACATCATTGTGTAGAAGAACTCAGTAAAATGTTCTTTGGCACAAGAAATCTGTCTCTCCAGGAAACATAGAGCAGGCAATTGTATGGCACCAGCCTGAGTTGGTACAGAGTGCTTTTGGGGGAATACCTCATGGCAAATGATTTGGATGTGACCCAAGAACCTGATGAATCCCAGGTGTGGCACTCTGCAAAACTCTAGGGAAGCAGAGGGGCTCCTGGTTGGGAATTTACTAGTCAAGTCACTCCTACATTCTGATCCTTAATGGTTCCTTAAGGCTCAGACTTAAGGAAAGCAGAGTGATGGAGTGTAAAAAGCTAAGCTTGCACTGAGGGAAACCAGGGAAAGGGCAGCTTGGAATCTCTTCTGTTTGAGATTAAGGTAGCTGTTCAGTGGGCATAAAGTTTTCTTAGAGAAGACTCCGTACCTTTTTGTCTTTTCTGTCTTCAGGATTCAGTACAGGTGTGTATTGCAGACCCTCATGTCCTTGTATGACGTCTTGTCAACAACACTTCAGCTGGTATCTGAGACCCAACAGATGCCTTATATCAAGGGGTTTACCTTCCCTTCTGATATCAGTAACTTCCTTGGAATTAACCTATCTTCTGAGGTGAAGAAGCAAAAGGCTAAAATGCTTACAACAAAAAAATCTACCAGCTGGTTGAAGAAGCTCTTCCCAACAATGGCAGAGGCAGTATCAGAGGTTGGAAAAAAGAGAAATTTTGTAACCTGTACAAGTGGTGTGACAAACCATAGCATCCGGTGCCCCATGGATATCGGAGAGACGGTTCTGGTGCCCAGAGCCAGCAGAGGTAAAGCCTTGTGCCACACAGCGCAAATGGTTTCTGACATCTCAGAGACTGACCACAGCTTCTGTCCAACAGAGCCAAGCACTTCTACCACAGAGTGTGGTTCTAGTACAAGCTCCCCTCTCCTGTCCTTGGGAGAAGAGAATGCTGAATGTACCTTGCCTTTATAAAGCTGTGGATAATGTCAGCATTGTGATTTTTTTGGAGGGTTTGTTTTAAAGAGAATACAGCCTGGAGAGAAGCAGATAATGAATGCAGTATCCAGGTCCTGAAAATAGTTATTTTTACTTTCCTCCTTCTGCATAGATAAGGATAGTGAGAAGCTAAGAACACTGTCTGCAGTCCATACAAGAGTAGGCAAGGCTATAAGTACAGGATGCAGGTATCTTGTGCTTGCTGGTTCTGGACTGTGCCCAAGACTTTCTCTGTACTCAGGGCTATGGCCAGTGACTGCAGGCATCCAGGTGTTTGTGTGAAGCTTTTACCCATTAAGTTCTTTGCAGCCATCTGTAAATCTCTGCATCCTCTTCATCCCTTGCCAGCTGCAATGCAAGATGAGTGTAGTCCCCTTGAGCTGCTTGGAAATGTTGAGTACAGGTGTGAACCTGCTGAGAGCTCAGCATGGCAAAGCACTGCAGCATCTCTGTGCAAAGACGTAAAACTATCTCAACACTGTAATGGGAAATCTCCCCTCTCTCTGTAGGGAAGCACCTGGGGATTGATGTGAAGAGCTTGCTTAAGCCATCCAGACATCCAGCACAAGAGGTTTGTAGGGTATCTTTTTACACATTATTTTTCAATTTTACAGACCCTAACACAATATCCCTGATTGAAAATGTCCCCTTTCCCTGCCTTATTTTTGCTTGTCTGACAACCCTAGTTAGTGTGGAAGCTTTGCACAGAAAATCGCTACTCGTTTCTGCTTAGGAATTTGAGCATTTCTTGGTTTGTCAAGTGACTGACCGGAGAGCTCAGTAGTAGACAAGAATACAAATTCTAATTATCTTCTTTTTGTATTCCACAAAACAAGAGTGCTCTTTCTCTTTCTTCTTGGGAAATAAGGAATGTTCTCACAAAATCTTCAGTACTCTGCTCCCCTCCACCAGAAAGGACCAGGCACATCATCCTTTTAAAAGACTAATATTTCTGTTATTGTTTCAGGGTATAAACATGCCATCAACACCTTTTAAAGCAAAGTTGGCACCACCTTCCTCTCGTGTAGCAAAGTCACAGCATACTGAATCTCTTGTACAGATGGTCCAAACAGCTGCATCATTTGGGGAGCTGTCAGAGGCACTCAGAAAAGCTATTCTGTGGTGCAAAAACAATAAATTCAAATCAGCAGCTTATTTTCTGCGTAACAAGTTGTTGAAAAGCAACCGGCTGCACCACGTGGAAGCTCAAGGATGCAGGTAGTTTTTGCATGGGTGTGGGATTTCTGGATGTAATTTTAATTTCTGGATGACATTTTAATACGTATATTGCTACAGTATGGTGAAACACAGTGGTCTAAGCCATTCTTTTTAAACTCGGGATCACTAGTTCAGGTTACTGGATGCTCTGACATGAGCATTCTGTTTAGCATGAGTCACTTGTGAAAGGATCTAAAAGGCTAACAAATGCACAAATACATAACAAATGCAACTTAAATAATCTGCATGTTTAATGGTAACAGTTGTAGGATGCAAGAGTTGTCTTTCTTCAGATTGCCCTGGGTACTATCATAGTAGTGCTATATAGAAGGTGCTGTTATGTTTCCTTGGTATGACAAGGAAAATGATAAAGGCTAATAACCAAACCTCTCCAAACTCCAAATGAAGTAACACTTCAGTATCTGATAAAGTTATGTTTTGTGCACCTTCCTCCTTTTAAGCTTGAAGAAAAAACTGCGCTGTGTCAAAACATCTGTCCGTAAATACCTCCTGTATGGGTCCCAACACACACGCTGGC